ACACACACACACACACACACAGAGTCAGGATTAAGCATGTTCCAACACAAAGAGGAACAAACTGATTGAAACTCATTTCCTGTCTTGTGTTTTTCACAGTTGCGGACCTGGTTGATGAGAGAGATGTGGATCCAGCCGCTCGGCTCCACCATCTCCAGCTGCTGCAGAGACAAGAGAAGAAGAAATCAGGTTCTCCCCGTCTGCTTGTTATCTAACGGCAGAAGACGCCGGTGTGTTACCCTGATCTCCTGCAGGTTGTGGAAGTTGTTGCCGACTCGGACAGAGATCTTACTGGGTGTGTAGCTCTCGTCAGATTTATAATCAGCATAAATACACAACATCTTCACCGTCGTCCTCCTCCTGAGCACAACACACACACACAAGTACAAATACACACGAGTAGAAACATAACAGGAGTGCGACTGATGTTTGCTGCCAATGACACTTATTTTTACATAAGAATACAGTTTATGGTTAAAGTGTGAAATCAAACATCAATTTCATTTGTTTATCATTTGATAACGACATCTGGATTGTATTCTTATATTGACAGTATCTGTCACTGTCAGTGATCAGATTCTCACTATTTATAATTCTGTGTTGAAATGAAATCAACGTTTGTTTGACACTGGAGTGAAAAGTCAGTCGCACATGTAGAGATGCAGATTGAACACAATCTGGTCTCTTCAGTTTTTCCAGAGCTTCAGGTCAGATAAAGATCTTTAAACATCCAGGTGGTTAATGAACCTTCGGGTCAGATCCAGATGTGCAGCTGTGCACCATGAAGACGTCCTCGTCCTGACACAACTCATCTTACCTGAACTGTATGTTGACCAGGTGAGGCTGAGATCCATCCGACTGCCAGTACGTCTCCAGGTTATCGTCTCTCAGCTGGTCCACTCCAAAACCTGCACAGAGCAACAACACTGTTTCTCTACACACACACACACACACACACACACACACACACACACACACACAGGGTCTGACCGGGTTTACAGGAGGAGAGAGACCACACTGCCTGGGAACCGATCTCCCGGACCGTGCCCGTCCGCTCCAGCTGCTTGGGGTCGGCCCCCGGAGGCGTTTTGCTGGGCGTGGCCATCCTCCTGTCACAGAGAAAGAAGCAAGTGGATCTGAGCCACGTTCAGAACCTCCCAGTGACACGTGGGGTTTTAAAGGAGACATATTATGGGATGGTCACTGACCGTTCAGAGACCTCCTGCTGGGGTCTTAACTCCCGAGCGTCTTCAGCAGCGTCTTCAGGATCTGACTCTGGCTCAAACTGATAGGGCAGAAACACTACGTTCTCTCCATCAGCCATGTGTCTCCATTCAGCTCTGCTGTTGCTATGGTTACGTCCAGACTTTCAGGAGCATATAATATGTCTGCTTTAAAAACAAAGGTTCAGATTCTGATCCTCAGGTGTCACTGCGGCCACGGAACACATGTGAACAGCAGAGTGATGCAGTCATTCAACAGTTTGGTGTGGAGCTGGGTTTAGCTTTGGTTTAGCTTTAGAAGCTGGGTTTAGCTTTAGTTTAGCTTTAGGAGCTGGGTTTAGCTTTGGTTTAGCTTT